TGGGTGCTCTGGGTTCGGGCCAATTCCAGGCTTGGAGCCTTCCCCCCGGACAGCATGCCAAATACACTTAAATTATATATTTCAATTTCCTGTACGTGTGAACTCGTGAAGTGGGCTGAGTGGAGTGTGCTCGGTCACACACCGTTCACTGTTCTGCCCTCCTGGGTGGCTTCCCATCCATCTGTCGTTACGACTTTCCGCAACTTGATGGCCACGAGGGGGGTCCCCTGAGTGTAAAACTTTGCATTTCTCTAGTGGCGCAGCACTGCTGTGGATGAGTGGATCACTGTGACAGAGGGGCAGAGATCACATAATGGACTGAGATGAAGAGATAAAACACACTTCTTGAATGCCCTCATTCTCAGAAGGCCCAGAGGCAGGACATGGACAGCCGAAGCCATAAGACCCTGTAGTCTGAGACGTGCAATACTGTACCCTCGCTTCTTCCCTGAATTGTGAGAGGCAATTCATGAAGGAGAGAATGTGCTCTTGCATTAGTCACGTGCACATCATAATGGAATTCAGCTCCAGACCTAGAAATATCACATTCTGGGCAGGAGTGAAATTTTGCATCACTGTCTCTCTTGAATCAACTATAATCAGTCAATCGTCTACATATGTCAGAATCCTGTGACCCGCTATTCGGGGCCAGGCCTGCCTCCAAGCACAGACAAAAAGTCCTTGGGCTTAAAGCGAGCCCAAAGGGGGGACTGTGAATTCGTAGCACATGCCTTGGTAGGCGAAACGAAGGAATTTCCTGTGTGGAGGATAAATGCTTATTTGAAAAAAGTATCTCTCAGATCGATCAGATGTGAACCAATCTTTCTGATTTACTGAAAATAAGAGAGTATGGAGCCCCGCACATGACATGCAAGAATAAATAAATAAATCGTGCGAACGATTTACTAATTCGTTCCCTCGATGTACTAAAATGTGCACATGATTACTATTTTGTTCCTTCGATTTTGCTAATTCGTTCCCTCGATTTGCTAAATCGTGTGCACAATTTACTAATTCATTCTCTCGATTTATAAATCGAGTGCACGATTTAGCAAATCGAGGGAACGAATTAGTAAATCGTGAGCACAATTTATAAATCGAGGGAACAAAATAGTAAATCGTGCACACGATTTAGCCTACTACTTTTTTCCTGCATGCCATATGCAGGGCTCCGTAAGAGAGAACCATAACATTCTGAAATTGTATTTCCTCAAATGTTTGTTCAACACTCTGAGATCCAGAATAGGACAGAGAGAACCATCCTTCTTTGGAACTAGGAAATAACAAGAGTAAAACCCCTGATTGCGGGGGTACCACTCAAACCACCCCCTTCTCAAGGAGGGAGGAGATTTCGTCTTTCAGAATGTGAGCAGAGCTCTCTTCCATATGAGAAGAGAGTCTGTACCCCTTCGTTATTGTGTGAATCACCCATTCGGGATCTGACACAGACAGCCCCCACACAAACCGGAGAACTGCTTAGAGCTGCTAATTTGGCCGGTATGCTCATTTGTAGTACAATGGCACTATCTCGTGGACAACGTAGGGGCGACATATAGGGTTGTAAAGAGATGTTCTCTCTTACTAACGAATTCATGTGATTCGTTTGCTTTTTGGGCAACACTTGGGCTGAAGCCTTTATTGAACTTGTGAGAGATTAGTTAAGGGAGCTGTGTGGTGACACTACTTGTGCACTTTTCTCATTATGTTCCCCTCTGGAACGGAGAAACACACACTGGGCAACACGGGGAAGAGTGAAGCCTATGCCCACTCTGAATGGGTACCCACTGGCAGGGGGGAGGGGGTGCTGACCCCGCTGACAGATAACCTCCGTATTTTGAACGGAGGAATAAGAGGGGCAGAACTGGTGTCGGGAGGGCTGGCTGCCCATGAACTTGGACTCAAAACCCCGTGGCCGTGCATCAGGCACGCCGCTTGCGTTTCGAGTCATTGGGAGTGTGGTTTGGGGGTTTTTTGACCGCGGCTGTGGCGAAGAACATTTCCACCCATGGTTTAGCAGGTGGGGACTCACTCTGCTGCACCGGTGGCTTACTGCCGGCCATTCAAAATTGAGGTGAGCAGCCACTCGCTCACAAAACTTGAGGAGGACTGATTGGGGTCGGGCAGAGGGAGCATTAGCCTGAGGGGCCACAGATGACAGGATGGCCTCCTCGTCATCCGAGCCGTCAAGAAGGCCTGCATCGTCCTCGTCCCCGGAGCCAGGCGGCCCGTCTATGAAATTGGGATCAGCTGACAAAATATCCTCAAATGGGGACAGGTCGTATTGTTCGACCCAGCTCAGAGAGGCAGCACCGCAGGAGGCCCCCAGGAGCAAGCCGGTGTCACCTTTTTCCCCATCCGAGTCAGACAATCGCAAGTCGATGCTCTGAGTAGCGGCCGCCTTGAGCCTCCGACGTAGGAACTTCTTAGGGAACACTAAGCAATAGCTACAGTTTTCTGGGAAATCGATGGCTTCTTGAGTGTGTCTAAGACCCATGCAAACAATGCAAAAGGGATGGGGATCCCTAGTGGCGATGAGGGCGCCGCATGCGGCTGGGCAGGCTCGTGACTGGTTGTCCACAGTGTAGCCGGATTCAATTTTGAAAGAGCCATGAGTAGCGAATAGTAGATGGAGAGAGGAAAAGGTGAGGTAAGAGGTGGGCAGCCTAGTAACAAGTGCGAGCGTGGGCAGCTTACAGAATAAAACAGCTGACCTGGTAAAAAAGGACGTCTGGCGGAGGCTGATCCAAAGATGTGTCCTCTGGTAGACAATAGTGAAGTCAAACAAATGAGCTGTGAATAAATGTCCAGAGGTCACAAGAAGCGAATGTCAACTGAGGAAAGGTAGCGCGTGCAGGGGCTTTATGTGCTCGGTTAAGGGGCAGTCCCCTTACCTGACATTGGGCACGAGCTCCTGTCTGTCAAGCCAGACTTGGTGCAATTGGATGCTTCTGCAGAGGTCAGGCACGGATGCCCTTCCCATAGGTAGATCTCGAACACGAGATGATGAAAGAGAACTTAATGTGACAGTTGTTTTTGCAACCAGTCCACCGGTCCTCTCTGGCTAATGTATTCAATTTTTCCCTATATAGGGAACTACAGTAGGCTATGTAGTACATATTTTTTTATATAAGCAATCCAGGATGTGCCTGCATAAAAGTGGTCATATTTAAATGGTTCTTTAAAATAATAGTTTTACAAATTTCCTCCTGACGATCATAACATCAATCATAAGAAAACCTAAACAATAATGTTTCTTAATAATACAAAAATTACATATCATAATTTTCATATATAATCATCATCATCATAATAATAACTTGTTTGAAAAAAAAGTCTGACCGATAAGTTGCACTATTAAAGAAATTGGCTATACAAGCTGTGTTTAAAAAGCAGCATTCAAATGATCATTTTCTTATTATTCTTGATTTCTCAACAGTATGCTGATAACCAGGAAATTATTGAATTCGTTACAAATCCCATACCAAATCCTTTTAATCCCATATAGAATGATTTCTAACATTTTTGTGATGCATGAATGTTTCATGTTTAAAATGAGATGTAGTTATTTGGTCTAGTTTTCTGTGAGCAGGAAAAATAAAACAAAAGGCAACAGTAGAATACAAACAATCAGAACAGATCCCAGTGTGACACTGTAAACATGTTTTTCCTTCAAAAAACTTTATATAGCAACATAATAAAGAAAGTTGATGAGCTATTTCAGTCCAAAACTAAAAAGGTCATGCTTACCAAATATATATATAAAAAAAACAAACAAAAAAACAGTTTCTAGCAATAGTTAAACTTAATGTACATTAATCATTAGTCATTATGAAGTCAACTCTTTCCATGATTTTGCAGAATGGACTGGTAGATGTCGGACTTCAGAAACCGGGGATAGCAGTCTCTCGCCATTAGACTGAAGATCATCTTCTGTGCCGTATCAAATGAGTTGAGGGTTGGCTCCGAGATGTTGTTTGTAATATTTGTGCGAGTCCCAGAATCAATATTTACCTGAAAATAAGGGCAACACATTTTTTAGAATGAATGAAAGTAATATCTGATTTCTATCTTAAAATGCAGAATGCCCCATAGGTAGATCTCGAACACGAGATGATGAAAGAGAACTTAATGTGACAGTTGTTTTTGCAACCAGTCCACCGGTCCTCTCTGGCTAATGTATTCAATTTTTCCCTATATAGGGAACTACAGTAGGCTATGTAGTACATAGGGAGTAAAGAATGAGTGATCTATGCTGAACATGTGAGTCTGATGCTTGTTACTCACAAAAAGACAAGAACCTTACACATTTACTGATTGCTGATATGAAACTTCTAGAAGACTGGTCCAGGTTCTGAGTTTTATTTGAGGTAATCAGAAGAAAGTAGATATCCAGGACCTAAAAAATGTCCACACTGTTTTCTGAGTTACATCTGTGAAATGGTCAGACACAAAGCCTACACAGAGTTTCTTTCTTTATGAATTATGAATGATAATTAATTAGAATATAAATTCTATATAAAGTGCTCACACAACTTTTCATGTTTTATGTTCATTTATTTATTTAATTTATA